CAACGGCCGTATCACTCAGTCACCACCAATCACTCAGTCACCATCAGTCAATTGCAGACAGTCGTTCCATCCAGTAAGAGTGGAGTTTGCTCAGTGAGTTAGAGACAGTCATTGATGCCTATCTAAAAGACAAAAATCTGCCTCCGAAAGCTTTATTTGTATTGGACCACGCACGATCTCACCGAATTGGTTAATAGTGACATATGTGTTTATTCCTCCCAATGTGGCGTCTCTCATCCAACCCCTAGACCGAGGAGTTATAGAAGCAACGAAGAGGAAATATTGGCTTAGACTTCGACAGGTACTGCTACATGGGCTGGATAAAAGGCTGGCTGTAATTAACGTATTGAAGAAAATCATGGTTAAAGATGTATGCTATTGAAATGCATCTGCATGGGACAACATAAAAGTGTCCACTATTCAAAAATCATAAAAACAATTATTTCAGATAGAAAACAAAACCCTGAGCCTTTAAAAAGGAACTAATGACAGTGAAGTTGATACTATAGCCAACCCAGTCAATTACGAGTTGAACAACCAATCGGAAACCAAGGTTGGTTGAAACCAAATAGAATTAGCAGATGACGCAATTGCCCATCTAGTTCTAAACATCATCCATGAAGAAGAAAAGATACATATGAGATAACTTTGCCTCAAAAAGAGGCAAAGAAGCAAATATTTTTATCCATAATATACAGTTTTAATGCATTAAAATAACCACAGTTTTCGTTATTTACATGTTTTTCTATCAGTATAACCAATCTCGGTGTTAACCGAGTTTTTTCCGTATCCGAGGTAGTCAAGGTCCTAATTACCTCGGATAATCGCGGGTCTACTGCACAATAAAGAAGACTTTATTTTGGATTTTAGTTACTTTCACAGAATTAACCTATATAGATAAAGTAACTTATTTTTTACTATCCTTAATATACAGGGTGAGTCATAACTATTGGAGCATAGACTAAGGACAGGTTATTTGGACCAAAATATGGCTATTGGGCCAAATATGCCTTAATAAAATGTTGCTGAGAAAAAAGATACAGGGTGTTAAAGTTAATTTTTGTTTTTCGTTTTTTGCTAATAGTTTCCCTGTATATTTATAAATTGGTATCAAAATTGGCACAGAGGCATAATCTTAGACAAGAAATAGTATTTTATTTACAATTCCACTATCAAATACCAAACTAATAAACAAAGTTGCAACTAACGTAAGGTTTCCGTTTTGACGATAAATCAAAACTAAACACACAAAAACTACACAAACTAAATGTTCTACATGGTCTCCTCCGATTTCTACGCCTTTTCTAATTCTTTTTATAAAGGATTTTTGGACGTTAAAAAAATATTATTCTGTCCCTACTGTATAAGATTAGCTGCATTTTGAATGTATCTCCAAAGTTCGTCTCGTGTATTAATTTCATTGGCATAAATAAGGACTTCATATGTCCCCAAAAATAAAAATCTAGCGGGTTGTACTCAGGACTTCTTGGTGGCCATTGAAAATCACTGCCTCTGCCAATCCATCGTTGAGGAAATACGTCATTAAGATGATTTCTAACAGCTAATGAAAAATGAGGTGGCGCTCCATCCTGCATAAACCACATTTTTCTTCTTACATCCAGTGACAGATCATCTAAAATATCACTAAGAGTATTTTCCAAAAAGAATAAATAAGAATCTCCATTTAAATTCGGAGGAAGAACATAAGGCCCTAGTAGTTGGTCGCCTATAATGCCACACCAAATATTCAATTTAAACTCATGCTGAAAATGTCTAGCTTTAATAGCATGCGGGTTTTCTTCTTCCCAATAATGACTATTTCGCCAATTAAAAACCCCTCGTCTGGTAAAAGTTGCTTCGTCGGTGAACATAATATTCTTAATAAAGTGTCTGTCATTGCGATGTTTAATCAGAATACGTTGGCAAAACTGTAACCGTCGTGGAAGATCTGTTGGAAGTAAATTTTGAACAGGAGTGAAGTGATAAGGATGGAGGTTCTCTTTTTTTAGAATTCTAACAATAGACGACTGACTTACTCCTGTTGCTGCTGATAGATGTCGTGAACTTATTTCAGGATTTTCATCTACTCGAACCAAAAGTTCATCTTCTTGATTAGGTGTGATTTGTTTCGGTCGACCACCCCGATTTTTAGTGTGAAATGACCCAGTTTCACCTAAACTACGATATAATCTTGCAAAAGTTTTGTGATTTGGTTGCCTTCTGTTTGCGTATAACATTCCATACCTTCTGGCTGCCGAGCGACCGCAAAAATTTTCTTGTGCGTATACGCAAATTATATATCGCATTTCTTCATTAGTAAAATGATTGTGACGAGGCATTTCAATCAAAAAAAGTAATGATTACTTTTAAAAAATGCAACATTACACTACACTGTCACATCAAAAATAATTTACTCTGAACAAATGACATTTACCAACAACAATTATATGACAGTCCAAAGCATACTTTTCATAAATGAAATAATATTTGAAATCCTTTTTTAAGACTCAAAGCAGTTCGACTGCGTTTTTATCGAAAACGGTTGAAATTATCATGTTTAAACAAGAGTACCAATTTTACGTAAAAATGATGTTTACGTCATATTTTCTAATAAAAATTACTAAAAAGTTTCATCAGAAAAAGTTTAGACTCAATTTGATCATTAGGAATGATCCACGTGGCGCCCTCTATGACAAAACGTAAAATTGTAAATAAAATACTATTTCTTGTCTAAGATTATGCCTCTGTGCCAATTTTGATAGCAATTTATAAATATACAGGGAAACTATTAGCAAAAAACGAAAAACAAAAATTAACTTTAACACCCTGTATCTTTTTTCTCAGCAACATTTTATTAAGACATATTTGGCCCAATAGCCATATTTTGGTCCAAATAACCTGTCCTTAGTCTATGTCACAATAGTTATGACTCACCCTGTATATTTAAAATCAATGTACCTAATATGTTAACTTATTATAAAATAACCTATTCATTCACTGTCACTTATGTATTTCAAAATGGCTGAATTATTCATTGTTTTAATTTAGATTTAAATTCAACAACCTAACCCAACTACAACTTTTCTCTAAAGTTCCGCATTTTCCATCTGTCTGATCATTTTATAACTTGGAATATTAGTCTGTCTGTATTAAGGGATAATCCATAAATTCTATAACGAAAGATCCTCTTAAATTAAAACAAAATATTATCGAGATCTCGCCAAGAAGCCAAAGGCAAACACGGGTTGAAAATCTAGAAAAGGTTGAAAATAAACGATATTCTGATAATTAAAATATAAAATTTAACAACGTCTTTGTTTTGTTTTCAAAGTGCTGTAGGGCTTGAAAGAAAATTAAGATATTGAAATTGAAAATGATAGTAGAATAAACTGAAATGATATTGTATTGAAAATGTAGAATAAATATTACTTGATTCTATTGAAAAACTACAAAGTTCCATAATTTTTAGAAATGTAAATTTAAAATTACTTACGGATTTTAACCATAAGAAACTTTTATTGATCGTATAAAACCTTGACCAACTTTCATCCGAATTTCAGAATGATATCGCTAATGTGTAGACTTAGGCAAATATGCAAATTGCATATTTTGCATATAATGCATAAAAAATGCAAAAATGGAAAATTTTGCATATTTTTATAAAAGTGAGCATAAAGTGCATATAATTTGAAAATTTGGTGTTTACTATATATTTTTATATTCAAACTTACAGATAGCATGAAAATGCCAATATTTAATTTTTTTTATAATCACTTGGTATTCAAATTCTTGGTATAGTAACTAATAAAAGACAGCGGCTTACAGTTTTGTCACGTTTTGTCCTGGAATTAAGGGTTTGTGTAAACCAGTTTATGTCTCTAGGTAAAAATTTTATATTTTGACGGTCAGTTTCACTTGGTTTTAATTTTTTTGTAAAATTGGAGGCGTAAACAACGTGTATTTCTAATTGTGAATAACTATTGTGCTTTGAAAATGCCGAAAATAAGCAATTGTTCAACTTGGATAAAACCTTACATAGAGCTATCTATGGATATGAATAAAGTTAATTGCTCATGTTGTGTCAAAACCTTAAGTACATACGTTGTTTGAGAAAGTATTTATGCATTCATTTTATATTTTTACAGTTAACATTTTTGCTGTTACGGGACTGTAATATGACCTAATTTGGTGCTGTATTTCAATCTTTTAAAATATATTATTTCCTGTAAGTTCGTAAAACTCAAACTGGCTCTCATTTATCATGTTAACGTACGCAGAATTGGGCTTTTTCTTTGTATTCTATGTCAAAAAAGATTGAACCAAGTGGTTGATTTATGGCGCTTGCATCTGTTGACCACCCAAGGACCAGAGGGCGGTATTGCCCTGGTAGCGATCTCAAGACGCACACTTTTTTGCCACTTCTTCATCACGAGTGAACGAAAACACATTGACCGGTCTTGTGCTGTCTCGGCGACGCGACGTCCCGCGTCCGGGCGTCGGTACCACCGGCCAACTCTACAGCTTGGTACGAATTCATCAATAGAACCAAAGGGTAAGTCTATTCTTGTATAAAACATTGATAATGAGTAAACCAGTTTATTTCTAATTTATTTCTACTTTTACAATTTTATAATTGCTATTTTCACCAATTTTATGTATCAACAATATCACATTTTTTTTCGTTATAATTATTTATTCAATATAATTTAAACCAGCGACTTCTCAAGTTTAATCATTAAACATACGTACTATTTTTTATTTTATTTTAAAAATCTACTCGGTAGTACAAACAAAGATTTTAAAGTTAAAGATTATGTTTAAGAAAAGTACCGATACAAGGCTAGTTCGAAATAAATCGATATATTTTTTCTTTTTTCAAGCATTCTTAAAACTAAAAACTAAATTTCTTATGAACTTGTCAAAACACCACATGTAACTTCACGACACTAAATGACTTGTTGATATATAGATATTTAATACTTAAAACAAAAAACACATACCTTTTTACTAGACTTAAATACAGCACATTTGAACACATTGGAAGCTCCATCTCTAGCTATATAACTAAAAATTTTGAGATCTTGGGAATCGTGGGATACGTAAAATACTCTATATATAGGATGATTAAGAATAACTGATTTGCCCTCGTCAATCCAGTTCTTTTTCTGAAACAATAAAAAATTATGTTGAGTTATACATAAATGTGTAAGAAATACAGTAGATGATAAAATTATTAGAACCACGCCATAAAATTTATCTTTTTGTTTAATAATGGTATGTCATCATCATATTTGGCTCAGCAATCCTCTGTGGATCTTGGCCTGCTCTAAGATTCATCGCCATTCTGTTCGGTTTCTGGCAACATGTTGCAATCTTCTGATTTTTAATATCCGTAAGTCGGTTTCAACTCATCTAACCACTAATTCGCGGTCGGCTTTGCTTTTTCTTCCTACAGGTGTTCTGTGGTTAGCTTTTTAGCAATCGTATTTTCTGGATTCGTATTATGTGTCCAGCCATCTAAGTCGCTGTGTTTTAATGAACGTTATGACATCTGGCTCATCAAAGAGCTGATACAATTCAAAATTATATCTTCTGCGCCACTGCCCTTGGTCGTTTATAGCTCCAAATATTTGCGGAGTATTTACGCTCAAATATTCCAAAAGTCTTTCATCTTTCTGCGTTAGAGTCCATGTTTCTGCTCAAATGTAAAGACCGGCCTCAGCAATGTTTTGTATACAGTGGTGAGTGCTTTACCACCCGGCTTTTTAACGTAAGAGATAGAAAACACAAAGAGATTTCACCTTGTGAAATAAAAAGAGATGAAAATCGTAGAGGTGGGAAATAATCGATAGAAACCTATAATTTACATTACATTGCATTAACACTATCGATAATCTCACACCTTTAGACGTAAGCTTCGAGCTAAATCACCTCGGTCATAACTATTATGTGTGACGTATTTCAATGACATTTTTTAATTTCGCATAAAGTAAAAATGATTGACCACGATAAAGCAAAAAATGTGAATAAAATAAATTAATTAATAGTGATTATTTAATGTAAAGTTTTAAATGATTAACCAAGAATAATTTCTACTATGATTTGAGGAGTTTCATACACTCTTGACACGGAAATAAACATCAGTTCTTCGTGGATTAGTGGTAAGAATTACCAAACATACAAACAAACAAACAAACAAACAAAATTCGACACTGCGACGCAGAAGATTAGAGTTCAAAACCCACATGTAGTTTTCTTTTTTTCTTAATAATTTGAAACTATGCAGAGATCGTTTTGATTTGAATCACTAAACATTTATGTCAGTCGTTACTAGTATTAGAAGTGTTTGAAGTTAAACATAAATATCTTTTTGAACTTGAATATTTTGTATTTCCGTTTTATAACATTGGAATAAGAGCATTTATTCGGCATTCAACCTCATTTCATTTACGAATAAATTGTAAATAATGAGTTTTTCGAAAACTTGTTACCTAATATGTATCATATTTTCTATTATGTTTTGATTTAGTAAAACAAAAATTTTATCCTTGGTGTAAATTGAACCCCAATCTTCTTGTTAATAGACCACGTGTCTAAGTATTACACCAACTCCACATATGTATAATAACTGTTTTCGGACAGAACAAACCTACCTTTAGTTAAGTCAAATATTTCAGTTGAGATATTTTTATTATTAAATAAACTTAAAGATTTATAATTTAAAATCGCTACTAATTAATGTTTTTTTACTTTAATTCTTAATTTATTCAATCATTTATTCTTACATCAGAAATTATTAAAATAAATATGTTCGCGGTCATCCGTATAATTATGACTGAAGTCAAATAGCCACGTCTAAGAACTAGCTTTATCTCATTCTTTCTCACAAAATCCGTCTTCTATCCTTTCCGTTATTTTGCCGGGTTTTAAAGCGACTTAAACACTTCTAATACTATAATAACGGCTAAAGGTGTGAGACTATCGACGGTGGTAATGTAATGTAATGTAAATTATAGGTTTCTATTTATTTCCCACCTACGAGTTTCATCTCTTTTTATTTCACAAGGTAACTGTGTTTTCTATCTCTTAGTTAAAAAGCCGGGTGGTAAAGCACTCATCACTGTATAATCATTTTAGTTCTTCTTTGAATGTTTCTTGAGTGGAAATGCTTTTGGAGTCCATAATATGCCTTATTTGTAAGATTTATTCATCTTTGATTTCTTCGCTTGTTTTATTGGTAGCAGTTAATAGCGACCCAAGGTATGTGAAGTTGTCAACACGTCCAAAGGTATGACTTCCAAAGACTGTTTCTCGTTCTCATTTGCTATCGGATCCTTTGTAACCAACATGTACTTGTGTTTTGTCTTCGTTGATGACTAGACCGACCTGTTTCGCCGCTGTTTCCAATTCTAGGAGATATTGCTCACCATCTCGCTTGCTTACGCCTATTATGTCAATGTAATGAGCGTATGCTAAGACTATGCTAATGCTAATTCAAATGGGGTAGTGATGCGTAAAATATGACGCTGCATCCTGTTAGCGTCACTAGGCTTTCCTACTCAATTCCAACTCTCACCTCCACGCGGTGAAACCTGGTAACCTGAGCAACTCTGTGGAAGATTATGGTAACCAACCCCAGTGGGAAGCAGAGTCAGGGCAAACGAGAGTGGGAGAAATGGTCCTACGAAGATTAGGGGGTTGGGCTAAAGGTTAACGAACTCTTTCCTTAAAAAAACTCATTGTTATGAAATAATGGTATATACTTGAGCTATAAAACATATTTTTGTCTTTCTTCTATGGGAAATGGGTAACTGTTTACAAAATACTAGCAAATATTCTCTACGAAACGATGCAAGTTTTCACAGTTTCCATAGTTAGAAATACCAGGTCGGATTTACTCCAGAAAAATTAAAAATTTACCACATTCATTCAATGAGACAGATCTTCGAGAAAACATTAGAATTTAAATTGGAATCCATCGCCTATTCGTCGACTTTAAGGTCGAATACGACAGTGTCAAAAGAACAGTACTATACCAATCAATGCGTGAGTTTAGTGTACCAGAAAAACTTATCCGATTAACAAGAATGACAATGTGTAACTTAAAAAAAATCGTTAGGATATAGGGAGAAATTCTTGATCTTTTCAGAGAAAGGATGAATTCAGACAAGGTTATGCCTAGATTGCCTCTTATTCAACATTGCCTTGGAAAAGGCAGTCTGAGACACACGAATTAGAGAAGACGGTAATATTTACAACATATCGATACAAATCTTAGCATACGCTGATGACATTGACATAATAGGATATAGCGAGCAATATTTTCTAGACTAGGAAATAGCAGCGGAACAAGTCGGTCTAGTCATCAACAAAGACGAAACCAAGTACATGTTGCGTACTAAGAATCCTATTGCAAATGAGGAACGAGAAACAGTATTTGAAAGTCATGTCTTTGAACTTGTTGACAGCTTCACATACCTTGGCTCGTTAGTGACTAGTACCAATGAAACAAGCGAAGAAATTAAAAGACGAATAAACCTAAAAATAGAGCATACTATGGACTTCAAAAATAATTCCACTCAAGAAAGATCCAAAGAAAAACTAAAATTATTATATACAAATTACTGCTGAGGCCGGTTCTCACATACGGATCGGAAACATGGACTCTAACGGAAAAGGATGAAAGACTTCTGACAATATTCGAGCGTAATATACTCCGCAAAATATTTGGAACGATTAAGGGCAGAGGCGCAAAAGATTTAATTTCGATTTATACCAACTCTGTAATGAACCAGATGCCATAACGTTCGTTAAAACAGAGCGACTAAGAGGGGCCGGACACATAATACGAATGCCTGACAATATGATTGCTAAAAAGCTAACAACAGGAACACCAATAGGAAGAAGAAGCAGAGACCGACCGCGAATTAAGTGATTAGATGGAGTTGAGACCGACTTAGGGATACTAGAGATCAGTTGCAGAAACGTTGATAGAAACCGAACAGAATGGTGACTAATCTTAAAGCAGGCCAGATTCCACAGAAGATTGTCGAACCAAAGATAATGATGATGAATATTGGATAGTACTTTTCTACTTTTAAGTCCATTTTTAAATCCAAATTTATTCAGGATCGTGTATAATGTATAGAGATAATGTATCTAGATCGTGTATAAAGATCTTCAACATATGGCTCATCACACTTATTGTTCTGTAGTCTTCGCATTTTTTTTTTTGAGATCTTTTCTTTGGTAGTGGTATGAATATAGAGAGCTGACAATTATTTGGAAACTTTCCTGTCTGAATGTTTATAATATATAGAAAATATGTCCATTATGATTTTCTATAAAAAATTATTTACGAAATGCAGTAATTTTTTAGACTTTTGAAATAAATGTATACAAAGAAAATAGGATAATTATTCTCATTCTTCCAATTAAAACACAATTCGTAGAACCTCCAAAATACAAATCTGCATTAAATTATTCCTATTTATAAATCACGATGATCAAGAGAAAATTACTTTTGTCTGGGATTGGCACTGCAATCACCACCGACATAAAATTATAGCCGTACATTTTTATTCGAGTGCTTTTCGCAATTTGCAAATTGTTTTGGGTTGAAATAATTATTAGCGAGAAAAACATTCACGATTAAACAACGTCACCGCACGATTTTAATTTCTCTAATTTCGCTATCGTTGTCGTTGTTTCCGCGGGGATTAGCTCCATACTGAAAGTTTGTACAGCATTTTTATAAAAAGAGACATTAATTAAATTCACGCATTTTGTGTGCAAAGAATTTTCTAATTATTCGCCTCATACAAAAATTTGAGATATTTAAATAAAAACTGAAAAATCATAATATTTTTTATGATTAACCGACGATTTTTAAATAGCTTCTAATTTTAGCTTCTTATTCTGTATGTAATTATTTATGTCTTCATTTTTTCCTATATTTATTATACAAAAAGAAAATGCTCACTCGATTGTTGTCAATGCCCTAAATAAATAAATTTGAGAATAAGTTGAGACTGTGATGTTTTCTAAAAAATTATATGTAATCAATCTAGCGATTTTGTGCAATCAAAAATTTGTTTAAAGTTGAATGTGATATATTAAAACTACATGAAATGTGCAACAATTCATCAAA